TTGTTTTTTGTTGTTTTTTTGTTTCGTTTTGTTTTGTTTTTCTTTTCTTTTCTTTCCTTGTCGATAAATCGATGCTTACACAATAACGTAATCAACAGCTTATCTGCTGGGACTTTGAAGCATAAAAAAACAACATTATAAACTATAAAGAGTCAAGATATTATTTTTATGGTTTCCTTCAAATTGAACTAATCATTTGTTTACTTTATATTCCTTTCTTTTGTTTACAAACTTAAAATAATTTCCGAACATTTGTTGTTGGGAAGACAACATGAATGTAATCAAGTTTGAGGACGGTTACTTTAAAGCAGGCTGATTGATCTTGCAACGAGTCATTCGATTGGACGTACGAGAGAAACTTCATCTGGTAAGTACTTCGGAACTCTTTTAACTTTTTTCTTTTTACTGATACAGCGCAACTTAGCTGAAGCCTAAACTTTTCTCGCTTAGGCAACTAACGACGGCTGTGGTATGCAAAATGCTTCTCACCTTAGTATAACACCTTCATGGGAAGCATGGTTGCCGTAGCGGTGAGAGCGCTCGCCTCTAAGGCCCCGTCCACACGTGTCCGGAAATTTTTGTATCCGCAAATTATTTTTTGCGGATACGAAAATGTTCGCGTCCACACGCAGCGCATTCGAATCGTTTTCGAACCGTTTTCACTGTCCACACGTATCCATTTTCCAAAATTTTCGGATACGGACACAAAAATTTTCGGACACGTGTGGACGCAAGCTGTATCCGCAAAAAAAAAATTTGCGGATACAAAAATTTCCGGATACGTGTGGACGGGGCCTAAGCAATGCGACCCGGGTTCAATTATCCTCGGTAGAGTAGAGTTTGTTTTTTCTCTCCTGTGCTTCGAGTTTTTTTCTCCGGGTTCTTCGGGATTTTCTTCGACACTCCGCAAAAACCAACTTCTAAATTCTTATTCGATCGAGAGAGGGTCTAGATGAAAGTTACTCTGTGTAATTCTAGTTATCCTAACAAATTGTTTTAAAAAGCATGCTAAAAATTCCGCGATTACTTGTTTCATGGCTGTTTTAATGGTAAAAATACAAAATACACATTGAGCATTAACAAAGTTGATCCAAAAATAGACTTTTGCTTTCTTAGCCTTGTGAAATGTTCCAGGGGAGAAATTTACTAACAAGCTGAGATTTGATGCCCTTTGTTTTGAAGTATTTTCTCACTCGTTCTGTTTTCTGTTTATATATGGTAATGTGATTACTTTCTACCCATGTCTGCATGTGCTGCATGTCTTATATGCTAAAAAAAAAAAAAAAGGAAAAATTTAAGAGAGAATTCTTTTCGTATTCAAGCAGTGAGCGCCAAAACTATTTTCTTGAAGAAAGGCTGTTGTACAAGGCTAAAATATTGTTATTCAAGCAACATTCTAACATAAATGCAACAAAACATCTTTGTATAATTGAAAATACCGCTTCAAACAGGCATTTTATCATAGTACATCAGTTTCAACTGTTTAAAAAAGGTTTTGAGTGTTGCCGGACCCAAAACGAAAATTGGGATCAAAACTCATACGAAGATCTAGTTTTTGGCGCTTTTTGCCATTACTGCTCATTATTGAAAAAATTTCCTCTTAAATTTAAAAAATTAGCTTACCTTGATCTCATGTTGTTCGTAATGGCTAAAAAAGGATTATGAACAACATGAGATCAAGAAGGTAAGCTCATTTTTTAATTTTAATGTTTTACGATTTTTTAGTATATAGGATAGCAAAGGTACATTGCTTGGGCTGCCTGTGCCCAAAGTGATCATATTCTCTACTTTCACATCCCCATAATACTTTGCGTCTTTGGGGGGGTAACCAGAGGGTAAAAACCTACTTATTTTGCTGAAGGCTGATCAGACAATGTTGACAATACCTTGTTTGGCATCCAAAAATAAAATGAAGAAGTAAAAAACATAAAAAGATAGAAGCTTAAAGACGTTTAAGGTAAATTTTAAACATTTTTTCGTAAGTCAATACATTTTCTGTAAGTCCAAAACTCTTGATGATCTGTAGACGCAAAAATAACTTGGAATAAACTGATAATCAGTATTGTACAGATAAAAGCAGGTATAGTGTAAATTCAATTAAGAAACCTTTCAATTTGGGACAGTTTTTTGATTGGCTACCCCCCAAAGACGCAAGGCATTGTGGGGATGTGAAAGTAGAGAATTGACCAGTGATATCCAGGCCCAGGTCCCGCGCGGCGACAACCCAACTCGCTTCCTTCCATGACTACTAATGGTTAACAAAAATTTTTTGATTGTAGATATGGAAATGAAAGTCTACATTTTGCTTTTCTTGTCTGTGGTGGAGATTTGCCTCGCTTCACAACGTTAGTAAACATTTTATTCAAATTTAAAATGATTCCGTTCATGGTTTTCACAGCCGCCATGTTGGATGAATTCAACAAGAAACATCATTAGTTTATTTCGTTATACCATCCAACATGGCTTCCGTGTCTTGTTATTTCATTATCTTGGGAATGATTGAAAACAAGCAATAAACTGAATATTCTAGACAAAAACATCAAGACAAAATTTACTTTGTCTAAAATCCATTTCGTAAAGTGTTCGTATCCGTGAACCCCATCGTTCACTCTTCGTAATACTTTGGGATCATGATTTGTCGCAAAACACTAGTCTTCTTTAGCATAATCTTTTAGCTGTGAAATATTGACAAGAAGCGAAGACATTCGTAATCGCGTAGTAAAAGCTTCGAGAACATTCGTTTGTTATCGGAAAGCGTTCAAGGTTTTATTTTGATCTTTTTATTATTTTTCATTCGCAGGAATAAAYCCAGCAAGAGGTAATGTTCATCGCTCGCTTAATCCTTCGGTCGGTCGGTCGTTAATTTACTCGGTTAGTTGGTTGGTTTGTTGGTTCGTTAGATGGTCATTCAATTAGTCGGCTGGCTGGTCGATTGGTCAGCCAGCTTGTGTAATGGTTTGTTAGATAGTGGATGGTCGGTCTGTTAGTCGGTTGGGTTTGTTGGTTTGTTGGTTCGTTGGATGGTCAGTCAATTAGTTGGCTGACTGGTCGATTGGTTGGCCAGCTTGTGTAATGGTTTGTTAGATAGTGGATGTTCGGTCTGTTACTTGTTGGGTTGGTTGGTTTGTTGGTTCGTTGGATGTTAGTTCACCACGGACTGGTGTGCTGGTCGGCTAGTCATTTTTTTTGTCATCTTTTATATACCGATCTATTAAAGTCTCGTGCAAAATTTGAAGGTTTTTGCCTTGTTGAAGTTCAAAACGTGTATAGTTCGTTAATAACATTTTGAATGTCACAACTCCTGTGTAACTGATTTCTGTTTTGCTTTATTAATTACAAAGTCTACTCAGTACGATATTTTGTGTCAAAGTCATTCATCCCACCAATTCGAGTTCTTTTAAGCGTCTTTTGAAGTAAGGGTGAATGACTTTGACACAAAATATCGTACTGAGTAGACTTTGTTTACTAATGAGGCCTTACTTACCTCGCTTCCATTCAATTGTCCCTAGTCCCAACCGAGTTTGGCAGCCATTTTTGAAAGTCGAAAGTATAAGTAAATTTAAAGAGACTGGGATAATATGTTTACAGATTAATGAGAACGTCAAAGAAACGAAACAGCTATGTGAACAAAACAACCTCAAAGCCAGGAGTATCTTCAGCGGCGAATCGTCCAGTGAAGAAAAATGGAAGTCCCTTCATCCAGTAATCAAAACCGTTCTCATGGATGTAGTTGCCAATGACGACCACGAAATTTCATCAAGTACGCATGCGCGGATCAAGAAAACTGTGGCGGGAAACGACTTGATAGAAATGTCCCGGATTATGTCCGAGAGGAGCCTGTGGAAGAAAGTTCCAGTAGCGCGCTACAGGAAAAGGAAACAAATGATGAAAAARGCGGTGAAAAATCCTTGGAGCTCATTGTTTGAAGATGAATCGTGTTAAATGGTTAACAAAAGGCAGCTTAAACGAGTAAAGAAAATGGAATCCTAAATGTCAAAACTTGACCTTTCCTAAATTCAGTTGAGGGTTTACATCCAATGTATTCTTCCAATGCAATGAAAAGTTTATTTGCATTTTCATGTTCTCTGTTGCTCAGGGCTATAGCCTAGATTTTGTGTAGAATATCCACGTGTTCCAGTGAAGGTCCGTGGAATTTCAAAATGCTCGTATTGTTGAAGTTGTAGAAGAATGGTATTTGTGCATTGTTTAACATAGAAACGAAGTTAATCCTGAGTCTGTAGTCAATTTTGGAAAGAGTTCCTACAAAAATCTCTTTTTATCCGCACTTAATATCTCCTTTTCGAAAATAAGGCGTGATCGCATTCAGCAAATTTTCTCTGCAACTTGTCTCACAAACGCGTTGCGACACAAGTTGCAAGAATGTTTACACGGTGCAACGGGGACGCAATCGTTGTCAAAAGCACGAACGAATTCTACTTTTGGCAACTATTGCTGCAACTTGTCACGCAACATCTTTCTTTTTTTTTTTTTTCAATTGCGCTGTAGGCTACACGCTGCGATGGCTCCGTACACTTGTGTCACAACGCCGTTGCGAAACAAATGGCAGAGAAAATTGCTCCGTGTAATGGCGTCTTCAATGCCAAGTGCTTTTTTCTTTGAAATCATTGAACCAGTTCCTTTAGGTGAATTCAGGAAAGGTCTAAATCAGGGGAAGTGTAGATGGGAATAGAAGACAAAGGGTTTTAAGGAATGGTGTAAAATGGTAAAACAAATACAAAAAGATGAATAATAAAGCATGGAACTCGAAAATTGAATTTGAATGAAGAGTTTTTGTTAATGAGTGAAGGAAGAAAACGGACTTTGTTTAGTGGCCTATTGAATCGTGACTTTAAAATATACGCATTCGTTTTGCAAAAAGAGTGTAACTTAAAATTCCAACTTGCAACAGAATATGCAAATTTAAACGTACTTAAAAGAAAATATGAACAACCACGAAAGCAGATGTCGGAGAACGTAGTCTAAAATACTAAATAACATCATAAGTGGATCTTTTTTGGTCCGGGATATCGATGAGGACGAAGCTAACGAGGTTTTCAACTGAAGTTTAAATGATGAAAATGATAATGATAACGGAGAGCTTTCGTTATTCGTTAAAATAAAACGTATGACGGCCTTGACGAGAAGCCAGTTGAGTGCAAAGTTATGCCGTTAAGATGGAATGGCTAGAATGTTTTCCAGATTTCACATGGTGAAAGCTCTCCCAGGTAAAATCTTTCGGCTTCCTTTACCTTGTTTATTCATTATTTTAGTCCCACATACATGATTTGCAAATATACAGTCAATGTCATTAACGTTGTCCACCGAAAAAAGACATTCAGACATTTACACATTTAGACTAAAAGAAATAGTACGTGTTTCCTTGAACGTTCTGGCATAAAACAAACGCTGAAATACCATTCTCCACCTTAAATCCTCACTAAACTGTTGCCGCATTCTGGATTTTCGATTCACGAATGAATTTTACATTTAAAGTTGGTTGCGCACACGAGGCAAAGAATACATAATGAAACACGTGATATTATTTTTAGTCTAAATGTCTAAATGTGTAAATGTCTTTTATCGGTAGACAACGTTAATGACATTGACTTTATATCTGAAATGTGATTTTACTTTTAAGTGCATGTATACATAAACCTATTTTCAATCACCTTCATTATATCTGAATTATTATAATTTTATATTGCGAAGTTTGCGCTGACGTCAGTAAGTGAAATTAGTCCCCGTCCACACGTATCCGGAAATGTTTGTATCCGCAAATAATTTTTTGCGGATGCGAAAATGTTTGCGTCCACACGCAGCGTATTCGAATCGTTTTCACCGTCCACACGTATCGGTTTTCGTAAAATTTGCGGATACGGATACAAAAATTTGTTTTAGGTTGGAAATTTGAAAGAGAAACGATTCTTGACGTCAATGTTTGCAAACAGTGAACATCGCTATAATGGGATGGTAAAACATTTATTTCATTATTGGATGGTGGATGGATGGGTGGATATAAAAATGGAGGGAAGATGGATGAATGGGAACGTATAAATGGATGAAGAAGAAGGAAGGAAGGAAAGAAGGAAGGAAGGAAAGAAGGAAGGAAAGAAGGAAGGAAGGAAAGAAGGAAAGAAGGAAGGAAAGAAGGAAGGAAGGAGCGACAGATTGAAAGGACTGCTATTAGGAAGAAAGGCTATAATCTGAAACAAAAATTAAAAACGCTCCGCGGTCCGTGTAATAAGAAACACTAAAAATAACATTGCTTACTTCTGTTTTATTTTGACTATTACTTACTTATTATACGACTTTGTTCCACAGGTTAAATAATATAAGATATATCCCGTATAAGCCACCGTACATACGACATTTATATCACATCGTCTTCCAATAAAGTGCTAATACAATCGAATTAATTTCAAAAGTCTAAGGAAAATTTATGACCTCATATCTTTTCAAGCTCAGATTTTAAAATGCCACAAACTTACCAACGCAATTGTATTATTAATGTAATGACGTCAATCAGTGTGGCGTACTTGATCATTTTGCCCATAATTTTCTTTAAGTTTGTTTGTTGAAGTTCAAGGTTTCATTCCGTGATGTTAGCGAGCACGTATTTTCAAATTAAGCTTTTATTGAATACACCTAATTGCAAGAACGCTGTTATGAAAATAAACAAATAAGAAATAGGAATTCATCGTTTTTTCAGTAAAACAAACTTATTTCACTATTTCGAAGGTATATTACAGGCTTTTCTCCCCCTTTTCTCCCTTTTTCTCACCTTTTCTCCCCTTTTCTCCCCTTTTCTCCCCTTTTTCTCCCTGTGAAACTAAATTCTTTATCATATAAATCAGATTAGACCAGATTCAATTGTTCCTGCCTCATGTCATGGCTGTCATCACGTGATGGCACAAAGCCTCTGATAGACTGCATTTTTGACATTACCTTGTTGGTACATACTAAAACAGATATTTTCACCAATCTAGAAAGCTTTAGAATCAAAATAAGAAAAAATATTCCTACTTAATTCCTAATTGTTATTTTATTTTATATTTTTTTATGACAACGTTTTTGCCATTAGATATATCGATAATTAGTTAATATTTAATAATAGATCGTGGTGGTCTTTTGGCCTTTTATACGCTAACATCTATACGTCTAAAAGAGATTTTATTATCATTATCTATTTAAAGTAATTCCTTAAAGATAGGTTTTTGTTGGTTAGTAACGTTAATCTTATATCAAAATATAACCATGAGATCATTCCGTGAGATATATGAAGATTTAACTACGTCTGAAAATAACAGTTCTGCTTAACCTACGGCTGCAAAAGGATTACAAAGGTTTATCATCAGGTAAAAAATTGAAAAATTGATATAATAATAATAATATTCTTCCTAAGATATAATTTTCGTTTAATCAATTAAATCCAAATCGTCTTTGTATTTGGGGGTGAAGTAAATAAATCCATCTTATTTAATTAATTATTTGATAAATATTTCGGTTCTTTCGTTTCGTTTCATTTTCTTTTTATTCTCGTATTTTATTTGCAACTTTTTAAATTCTATCGCTTTTTTTTTTTCAGATTCTTTTCAGTTTAAATTTTTTTTTTTTTTTTTTTTTTTGTGATTTTCGCCTAAAGAAAAACATTATATTTACATATAATAATACCTATTTCATTTAGAGTTTTTGGTTTATTTGTAAAACTTTCGATGCATTGAATTTAAACAGATTCAAAGAGGATCAAAGATTTAAAACTGAAAATTCTTTTCATCTTTTTCTTTTTTAAGGCGAAGAATGACACCTAATTTTCTGTTGTTTGCCTTGTCTGTGCTGGGGAGTTTCTGTCTTGTCAATGGTTTGTAGTAGAAAAAAACGCATGATTATATGTTCTAGTTCAATGCTCTATTCAATGCTACTTTTATATTAATTTAGCTGTACCAGTGAAATTGCCCTTTTCACTATGACGTCACTGCTTGTTTATGTCGGGGATAGAATCGCCAAACCCAATAGAAAATTCAACAAAATTTGCTCCTAGCAAAACAGTTTAATCTAAAATGGCCTGGTTTTCAGATATAATATGTGTTAATATGTACTAAAAAATATTTTGAGCGTTTGCTGGCTATTCTACTTCTCTTCGTGGATTGATACGGGTTTTAGAACAATTTTCGGTGAATTTGCGTTGATTTGACCCCCTCCGACGACCATGATCCTTTGCGTTTAAACGATAGATTGTTTTGATGTGACGTCATAGTGAAATAGGGCAATTGAAAACGAAGACGTTTCTGATTTACCCAGAGGCGTTGAAAACAGGGGGGTGGGGCTAGCAGGCTATAGTCTCCGTTTCTTTCCCATTCCACCCCCCCCCCCCCCCCACATCCAAATTTTTTTGGGACATATTTTTAAAACGTTTTTGCCTTCTACGACGTCTGATCTGAGAAAAAATATTAGCCAATCAGAGACCAGAAAATTTGCGAAACTGGGCTATCGCTATTCTATTGAAACTATGGGTTTCCAAGCCACCAAAAATGGCTTTGCAAATACGCGCTTGATTAGAGTGGCACAATAATTAATACGTTCTATATTTTTATTACAATGGTGGGCAATTTTTTATTTTTCATCGGTCAATTTTTGATAGCTTCATACTGACCAAATCGAAATATGGCGACCAATTGGAAAAGCCTATAGTTCTGCACTGACCAGCGACTGACTAGCCTCCTATACATGTGAAAACGCTTTTATGTTTCCACGTGAACACGAGGCTAGTCAGTCGCTTGACGTCAGTGCAGAACAATAGTTATTCAAATTAGTCGCTACATTAGTCGCTAGATTCTGCGCATGACATCTCAGTTGGCTGAGTGAAAAAAAAACCTGTTGTCTGTTGCTCTGTTCGTTACAAATTCCACAGCGACTTGGCCACCAGCTTGCACCATAAACCCGTGCAAAAACAGTGGAATTTGCGTGCCCTCTTCAGTTGGCTACTATTGTCGCTGTACCGGTTCTTACACGGGCAGGCTATGTGAGAAAGGTGAGTTAAGTGATAGCAAAATGATTCTTATCACCAGCCTTCAGTAACAGGAAAACAATGTCCCTCATTCTATTGCTTGGTATCAGTCAACTGAATGAATCTAATTACCAGCCTTCAATGACAGACAAACACTACCCGTCATGTGCTATCAACCAGAGAGTATTCTATTGCTTGGTATCAATCAGCTGAATATATCTCATGAATCTCATTACCAGCCTACAATGACAGGCAAACACTGCCCGTCATGTGCTATCAACCAGAGAGTATTCTATTGCTTGGTATCAATCA